TTGATGCATAAGTATTGCGGATTTTTTCCAACAAATTTTACTTAAAGAAACTATAGAAATAGTAAGCAAAGACATATTCAGACAATAACTCCGGAACCTATTTACCATCTAGGTCAAGCACTGCTTCCCATTGATTAGTTAGTCGGATCCCAAAAGCGAAGAATTTTTGATGCTTAGGGCGCCTATCCACGTATCCACGCCTTGACATCGGCCATCAAGTCATCCAAATCGACGTAACATCTATTCTCTAGCCATTTTTTCGATGAACGGTTGACGAGATAATTCATAAAAGTTTCTGCTGGTGAATATGGCAGATTTAGGGGCAGATCCCATTTCTTGGTTGGCTCTGGCTGTTTGTTCCGAAAAGTTACTGAGATCGCGGTATGACTGTGCCACCTTCCGATCTTTCTCGAAGTAGTTAAGCCTAATTTCGCGAATATGCGGATGTTTTTTTGAGTATATTCTTGTAGAGGAAACCAAGTACATCATTTCTAGAAGAAACTCGAGTTCAATATTCAAATTCTATCCAGCGAAAAAAAGCCGCAGAAAAATCCGCAATAATTATGCATCAACCTAATATTTACGAGTCGATGACTTATTTGTGCCCTTACCTACGCCATTTTCCTCCATCCTCCCCCACTGTCCCGCACTGAAAGAGAGCTAGAAGGGGTATAGATCTCTGGAGCTTTTCCGAGCTGCAAGGTAGCATAGTTCTTCCCCATCGGTCCCTATTACTGTCTACCTATGCAGACCAAAAGTAGTAGTTCCCCTTGATAGTCCTACAAATGCCATTCGTTCTTACAAAATTGAATAGGCGTGTGCTAGGTGTGTCAGTTTCAGGCCACTACACGGTGATGCCAAGATGAAGACTTCGCCAACTTCATTTTTTTCCATCGAGAGTGTCGGCATACCCGTGACTCGCATACGCATGAAAAGCTGTGAGGACCGTGGTCCTAACATACCAACCCCCAGCCATTTTGCCCTACTGCTATCCGCGAGGTTAGGGGAATTGCCGGCGTACTGCCGTTATTGTTTTCAATATGTTAGGACCATGGTCCTCACAGCTTTTTCCTAGCGGAGCATCGCTACGTTTCGAATTTCCTCATCAGTCCGACTTGCTTCGCCCTTCATAGTTCCCCTCAGACTGTATGGCGGCAGACCTAATGACCAGCATACCTTGCTTTCAAACCTTTTGCTTTACTGTGTCAATGCATGCCTGTTTTATGCTTTGTAATTTTGCGGAGTTTTACTTCATCGTGAATTCTTTCTTTCCTTCTTACCTTCCTGCTAGAAGACGGCCTCGTTACAGCACTAAAATAACAGCTTCATAATGAAGAGTTACGGAGTAAACGAGTAAACAAAATTCTCACAGTGGTTATTCCAGCCAAGTCATGATTTATCACGCCGACCTGAATTCGCTTTGCCACCACTTTTTTGTAACATTACTTTCATACTCTGCAATCTCATGCTTTGATGGAATAATCATTGATCGTAATCTCTGAAACCCTTAGTTAGTAAACTCTCATTTCTCAGTTTCAATAAAACGAGCCCTCTCATAGCCTTTCATTAATGACGCACAATTCTTTTATTCTAATTCATCTTAATTCTTTCTAATTGATAATTCAATTCTTTTAATAGAATGTATGTTTAGACCGTTAATTTTGCTGGATAGACGATTAAGACAGTTAATTCCACCTAATAACCGCCTAACTGTAGATGAAAGTCATATCAAGATGCAATATCAGTCAGTTTCAACAAAGGTTTTCCACCAATTGTGCTGTAGACTCGTCAGTAACTGATCATCATCATTGCTAAGAGATCCTATGAGATAGAAGCCAGAGACCCTATCCAAAGTGCAAAGGTTGGCTTTTATCAGTTTCTTCGGAGAGTCCTTCTTGGGAGGTTTCCAGATCCTCAGAAATACGCCGTTGAACTAGATCCTAAGTATCTGCTCGATATTTCCTCCTCAACAATCAGGGTTGCATTTAAGTCTTCTCTGGTGAAGAAACGATGGTGTGCTGCATGCCACATCACCCTTACCATTAAGGGAGATATATTGCTGGCCCTCAGAATAGGGGGAGAAGGGCCACAACAAGAACGTGAACGAGTCCTCATTATGTCTGTTACTACTTTTTTGATATTATAGTGAGTTAAGTGTCCAACGAGGCGGAGGTGGTGTAGTGGCAAGTGGCGCACTATATCACACGCACGGTCGGAGGTTCAAAGCCCGGATCGATGCCCGCCTAGGCCAACCAAGCTTTCCATCCCTCCGGGGTCGGTGAATTGGTACCAGACTCGTCTGGGAGGATTAAAGCACTGACTTGTANGCAAGTCATTGTATAGGCCACATACGCACTCATTACGCCACTACGATTCTGAATGGAAGTCGAGTGCGGGGGCGCATCCCTCAGACGGGATTGATCAACGCCAAGAACTTTATCCTTTTTTATCCTTTAAGTGTCCGACGACCTTCAGAGCTGAACGATGATTTCATCTTTTCCTTACCTTTCCGAATAGTCACATACGATGTAAGAAAGACCTATAATGGGCTTTGCATCTTTTCTTGCAAGTTAGTGTTGACGCTCGCAGGAATTTCGAATAGCATTCACCCCCTCCAAGTAGATCTGGCTCACGACTGAAACGAATGGAGAAGTTACTGACGTCCGCCCAAGCAAAGGGGAAACAGTTTACACAGAAGCGAAATCATCTGATTACATTTATCACATATCACTCTGCAATGGGTACATAGCCCCAGTTCGGCCTTGACAGGGCAGTTTTATACGCCCTTAGCGAGGGCGTTTTTAGTGCAGAGAACTTGGGGCAGTTTCTAGGACTTTCCTGCGCTCTGTAGAAGCTGCAGGTCGGCAGCTGATTATGTGCATTCCCTGCGAATGAATCCAGCAAAAAAAGCTTAGGGTTTTCGGGCACTGATCACTCCCGTCTGAGTGATACGCCCCTCATTCGACTTTCATTCAGAATCGTAGTGGCGTTTTGAGTGCGTATGTGGCCTATACAATGAATTGCGATTGCCAACCGATGTACAAGTCAGTTCTTNTATCCTCCCAGACGAGTCTGATACCAATTAAACTACCTGGGAAGGGTGGAAGGTATGGTTGGTCTAAACGGAAGTCGATCCAGGATCGATCCCGTGACCATGCGTCCACTGAACTGATTCACCACTGATTGAAAAACATTTTTTACAAACGAGCAATCCTAGCTTCTATAATATCAGCTCGATAGAGCGATAGGGCGTTACGGTATTCAGTGCTGTAGGTTAAAAGCAAATTGATGTTTTTTTTGCAATTTTCCATGTATTTGCGTCACAGTAATCAATGTTCCTCATTAATTTTGAATCAACCATGAATTCAATACTAATAATACAATAATATGAATACAATGCTGTAATGAGGCTGCGTAAAAGGCTCATTAGGGCGTACGTAGGGAAATGATCTTGTATTTTGCTTTTATATGCAATATTATCCACCAACTGAAAGAATTTTCACATTGAATGCACTTCCATATTATAAATCCATTCTTGCGTCACTGTTTCTGGATTTCCATTGAACGACTCAGAAACAATTTTTGAATTGGATTTTTTCAGAATTCTAAACTGAGTTTGAAATTTTGAAATGAATTTTTCAGTTATGAGCGACCATCAACAGCCTCCAAATGCGTTAACATACGACCTTCTCGAGAATGAGAGCAGTCGAAGTTCGCTAATGGTTCAACACCTTTGTTACGAGGTTTGTGGCAAAGTAACTTTGATGAAACATTACTGCGGTAGAAGAAATATTTCATAAAACATCTTGTTCGTCTGCTTATATCAGCATTTGATAGACCTAGACCTGTGTAAAAGTGCTCAGAAAGGGCGGGATCGGAAGGTATGCTTTTTCCGTATGCTCATCATAGGGAGAAATTTGTAAAAATTGAAGCACAAACAGTATGTAGCTGCATCAGGACCAGGCTTTACCTTCTACATACTGAACTTTCAATCCCAACAGTGGGATAGGAAAAAATTGTTAAACTCGTGCCTTAAAGAATCGTGACTCTGTTCAAAGGTAGCCCAAGATACCTTTCTGTTGCATCGTATACATATATAACGGGTACCTGGAGGCGTTTGAATAGGGCTTTGGGTTACTGTATAGCACATTCACGGACTTCATTATCCGTCTTGTCTTATGCTGGAAAATCTCGGAAATTGGTCTTTTTTATGGGAGACTTTGTAGCATTAACCTCAGCATGAGCGATTTTGTGCATATTTCCTGTAAATGAGCTTCTCCATTAGTCAGTCGACCTGCTCCAAACGTTGTTTCCTTCTCATATTATCATTATGACGTAATCCAACAGTGGAAGAATATCTTGTAGTGTTCTATACTTGAAGACCTCCTGGCGTGAGACTGAACCTATTGAACAATGGATTATTTTAGCTTGGCTACCACCTGATCTCAAACCGGCTATACCGAGTCTTTCAACTGATACAAGTCATCGAATGTATTGTTGCTCTTATCGCTCTACCTGTGGTCCACTACAAATTCCTTATACGTTCAGCTCTTCATAACAACCTCAAGGTACACATTGGTCATTTTATTATATTTTATGCCACTACAGACGAGAGAGGAACATACATTTGCATAATCACTGCACGAAATAAATTCAAGGGACAACCTCTCACCAATTTTTTTCCCCGCTCTCTTCAATTACTTCAGACCATGCGAAATTATATGAACCATCGAATGTAAAAAGAAATAAAATAAATGCCATAAAACCCAAGATATCTGATCAATCATTTTTTAATTAATTCAATGAAGCCAATTTCGAAGGCCCATGAGCCAGTGAGCTGTGAATCAGCCAATTAGGATGAAATAGTAGATTTGTAATGGTTATATTATAAATAGGCGACATGTATCGAGTTCTCTACAGCTTAATAAAGGCAGTTTAAAAACCCATTCTTGTAAAATATCGAGGAAACATACCGTAAAGGTGAATCGTGTAGGTGTATAATGAAACGATATGGCAGGGAGACGGGTAGTAGGAACGTTCTTCTGTAATCAATTCGCCGCACGCGGCTGTCGCGGACCATTCGCTTCGCCGTTATTACAACTCTAGCATTCTTCACACAGCTCAATCGATATTGATCCCTATTCCTGTCATGGTTCTACAACATATTATTTCTTTTGTTCCTGTATTTCTCACCCGCTGCTGCATTTTGCTAAATTTCTTCGCGCGCGGCGTTCATCTCGCCGCGACGCGACAATTTCATTCTTACTGCACCACACCCGATATGACGTACATATGCAAAGAACTAAACAGCTGCTACCACGACCTTTGTTCATCGTTATCATCATGATTAACTCATACCTTCGAATGCTAACCAAACGGTTTCTTGAAAAGGACCTTTTCAAAGACATCACGGTAAATGCTATTCTTCTAGACCATCAAATATGTTAGAAGCTCCTTTTTACTCCTTGAAAAGTTTGGAAGCTCTTTTTACTCTTTGAAAAGTTGTACTCGTAAAAAAAACGACGTAGAATTTTCTTTCCAGTTGCTTTTGAATGACCGGGCAGGTTCCATTCAAAAGGAGAGTAGCAGACCTCAAAATATAAACCTGGTTTTCAATTTTTCAAGAGTTGTTAGCATAAGTTTCACGTTTATTGAATCAAAAACTTTACCAACAGCATGTATCGACATTATACCAATTATAGGCACTTCTATGCTTACATTTTCATGTTGGTATGGCCTACGTTCTAACAGTCCTCACCAGTAAAGTAAGTTTTTTTAGAAAAAAATCCCGATTGATATTCGAAAAGGCATTTTCTGAGGGTAGAGCCCGCATGACAAAGATCTTTGAATATGATATAAGAATTCAAGACCTGTGTTTTCATAAATTGTTACAGCTATATGAGTTCACTTTATGGACGACATACCGTAATCCATGTGATATGTTCCCTTCACGGATCGCATACACCATCTACGGTATCGCCGAAATGTACTGCTTGATGCATATGCTCAGCTTGCAATTTGTGATAAGTATCGAACGCACTGTGGCTACCATTTATGTGGATACCTATGAGTCTTGTAGAAGGACTTTTGCCATATTTTTCGTAACTGCTACGGTACGTTATTTGGTTCTCAAATCTAGAAATTTATCTGATTCCTTGAACTCAATAATGGAAATCCGTGAAAATTTGTTTCCTTTTAACCATGGCATTAGAAAAACTGTAGAAAGCTTCTTCACATAGGTCAGTCCCGATCACCGTTATTCTTAATATGTCTACATATATTTGCTGTTTGGCGTAGGTAACAACAGTGGGGGCATACAGTGGAGAATACCACCAGCCATTTTAATCGCAAACTGTGCCTCCGACATTCAAGCAAGACCCTCGTTGAATAGCTAATAATGTGCTATAAGTTTCAGTTTGTCATACCCGGAGCTATGATCCTCTATATATACAGAGGTGTAGTGTTTACCGAGCCAAATATATGCTGCTTCACGGATCAGACAACGGTGAAGGATAAAATCAACGAAATGTCGGTGGTCGCAATACTTTTCAGTTTTGTCAGTCTGGCGATGCAGCGGACTCTTTCTGTGATCAACAAAAGAAGAAGAACAACGTAGGTTTCTTGATATTATGTAGTGATCGCCCTCTCAGTCACACTAGAAGAAAACATTGTAATTGTTCCGATAAGTAAAACAACATTTATAAAAAATTATTAAATGAATAATATCAAAAATTTATTAATAAAATGAAACCTGCAGTTACTAATGTACTTCTATGCACTAAAGAACTAACAGGAGTAGGAGCTCTTATAGCTTTTGGCACTGCAAGCAACTTTTGCTCAATTGTTAGAAAGCATTGAGGGAATTGTCAGGAACAATACCACTTTTAGTTTTCCAGTTGGAATAGCAAAGACAGCAAAGCCTATTCGGCAGTCACGTCTGGATTACCAAATAGGAAGTTTATCTATCATATTGCTAATTTATGAACAACCTCAAACTGCAACAATTGTGGCAGCTCAGAAAGAAAGAGTATGGGAGACGAGAAAAGGAGGGAGAAGTATCTTTACCAGATAATTGTGCAGAAGTGTGAGCCTGTGTAACTGTTAAGGTACGATAGACCAACTAGCACGGTGGCCTCTAGAAAATGAACCTTAACCAGTAGCTAGGGCTGTAGAATGTTACAATGGTTGGAGGTAGTGTAGTGGCAAGTGGGGCTATATCCTTTAATGGTACAAATGAAAACTCATTTTGAGTGAGCACTATGTGAACTCGCCTCGATTGCATCCAATCTTTTTCGCCCAGTGGTTCTTACAAACCTTTATTACAGACTGATCACTAAGCCGCTAACGACAAGATATCAGTTGCACGAGAATATCGCCGGCACCAGTCTTGCCTCAGGCCTTCAAATTTTAGAGGTGAAATAGCATTTTTATACGTTTTGATGTAGGGGAAACTCGATCTCAAACTTCCTGCTTGCCGATTAATTTTATAAGTGTGCTTATGAACACAGCATTCGTTTAGGATATTGACAAAACGAAATGTGGCAAAGGAAAGGAAGTACCAAAAAAATCGAGGGATTGACTTGTTTTGCTAACTGTTATTTTTTCGCCGCAATACGCGTTCCGAAAGTCTCACAAAGGTGGTGATCTATGAACAAAAGCTCAGCCTCGGAGGGGACTCGAACCCAAACTTGTGCTTTGTGCTCACCGTGCTCTATACCTTACACTACCACTTGCCTCGCTTTCATAACGGCTTATATGCCATAAATTTTGGCACTCACACGTCACTGTGTTGCCCGGAGAACACAAGTACGGGATCGAGTCCCGTCCGAGACTAGAGTTTTGTCCATAAATCGCTACCCTTGTATGACTGATTTTTTTTTCAGATAACCCTTTCACAATAAACGGAAATTCGGTTGTTCCACCTCAAGAGCGGAAATGCTGCTTTTTTTGTTTGTTTTTTCCATCTGAAAGTGTTTTGAAATTAGGGGCTTATTATCGGGCCTACATATGTAAATGTAATTGCCATGATGTGGCCAATCTCCAACGTTTCTTTTTCTTCCCATCTACATTCGATCATACAGAATTCTGTCGTAATTGTGGATATTGTCGTAGTTTCAGGTGTCGTNGTCAGCGAAACACGACCGTCCTCAGGCGCAGCGACCTCTCGAATCCATATGTAAATGTAATTGCCATGATGTGGCCAATCTCCAACGTTTCTTTTTCTTCCCATCTACATTCGATCATACAGAATTCTGTCGTAATTGTGGATATTGTCGTAGTTTCAGGTGTCGTCATCTATATTATACGCAATATTAACATTAATATGCAGTGAACTCCACTTGGGGCTAGTTACCAATGAACGGGACACGAACCTGATTGCCAAGGAAGGCTGTTATGTACGTTACTTCAGAGTCTATTCATCATGAGAAGGGAATGGCACCCGAAAATGTCGATTCTTGCAGATTATTCCACTGGCCGTAGCGATTCTTCCGTTCCTTGCTCTACACCTCCTTCGAAAAAGGAAAAGGATTCGAAGCAATTTGATTCAGCAATCAGTCACACGTTCGAAATCGGACGATATGGTTCTCTATGCAGACATGTTAAAACGACAATGGGAATAGATATCTACGTTTCTCACCACTATTTAGATGTTCTGATGGATTGAATTCATAGCAATACATGAATGAAATTTTCCAATCAATTCTAACACATGTACCCATAATTCCAATGTACACTTCAACCACACTTTGGAACCTGAGTCCACGACCAGCTTTTTTAGTTTCATGCAAGGGGGCCTGAAATGGGATCGGGTCGATGTTCGTGAAAGCAAATGAGAACAACTTTCCAACACCTTCTTTCACATATTTAAGCATTATTGGCTAATAGAGAGAACTGGATTATCGTCAAAAATAAACAACTAACAATTGTTCCAAATCGGGAAGTTAGTGAATGAGTCATAGTATAACCAAAAAAGGAAATGATAGCACTCGTTGCACTGCATATATTACTTCAGTAACAAGGAGATTCTTAAAATAGTTTCTTTGGTGTAGCGGACAGCACTGGCAAAAACTGCAGAAGCACACGACTACCTTTGTTAGTTCGATTTCGTCTAGTTTTGGGAGGTTCTGCATTCTAAAAAGGGCCACCAGCTACAAATGAATGATTAAGTCAACCCGTTTCATACTATAGTATCCGTACTGTCCAGATATAGAAGGCCAGTTCTCGAATGAGAAATCCCACTTCTGTGCGTTGATGAAGGCCTACAGGTTCGGCAAACCTGCATTGTCAAACAGAATGGGATCATAAGTGTATCATAGTTAGTGCTTTACTGTAGATTCAGGTCAGATTTTATCAAATGGCGTTATCGAGGCTCTTACGAGAAAAAAAGTTTCTGGGAACCTGCTAAGAAAAAGAAATTAGTAAACACAAGGAACAGCAGTCTATTGGAGAACACCAGTTAATGTCTACTCAGTGGCTTCGCATTATTTTCATGTGCTAGCAGAAGAACAATGATAAAAGTTCAAAACCGTGACTCTATTTACTCTAAAATGCCTTTTTGTGCTCTCCCGGGCACATCCCGGTTGAAAATAGAAATTCTGAGCTCACACGCTTCTTTTGCTTTGGCTATACGTTCTAGGATCTTCACCTACTATTTACTAAAGTGGGCATTTCAGTTGGTCTGATGTTGTTGAGCTGACGACAGCGCTTTCGGGATGAATTCATCTGAGTTCATTTCAATTCATGTGGGTGCAAATGACTATGAATCACAATAGGGGTACTGCACGTCCATGTGCAAATGGAAAAACATTATCGGATCCATTACGGATCAATCTCTGGGAATCGTTTTATGACAGTAGTTTTCCATAAACCGAACGGCATGACATTCAGTTCAATTTTGATTGATCATTGAGAACCGTATTTATATTGGAAATTGGACGCCACGGCTTCATAGTATACCTCTATTTCCGGAGAAACTAGTCAATTACTTATTCTCTATTTCCAATTTCAATGGTTCCTATTCGGCCGAGAGATGCTCTCCATTTCTTCTCGCTTTTATTTTTATTCTTATTCTTAGAGCATTCTTATTTCAACGAAAAACAAAATTCGACACTTTCAGCGAAAGGACGGTAGTAATGAATGTAGTAATTTGACAGTAACGCAGTCAAAGGAAATTTCCATAAACCCCAGAAGTCAAGGCTGTACATACCGCAACGCCGGTTCTCGTTTACCCGCTTCCTGCACCTCCCTGGTCCCTTCCACCCTTTTCCCCTTCTACTTCATCATGTGAACAGATAAAAAAAACTACAGCACTGAGCTTGAACTGTCACTCAAGCACCATTTTTTGACCGCTTGAAAGCACAGTCCACGTTAATTTTTAGGTACCCATTTTAAGCCGAAAAGAGGAAGTGCTGATGCAGAGTAGTGCATCGGTGGCGATGAAAGCGAAAGAGTTCGTCAATTTCGAGAAAGTATAGCTCCTTAAAGGTAGTGGAAATAGGGATTGTACGAGATTACCATGACGGACACCCCATGGAATGGGTATTCGGACGTGGTTTCCGTTGTTACAATTGCGCAAAGAGCTGACGACATCAAGTCAAAATTGTCTAAAACTGCCTCCCCTTTGTTGACATGGATCACGACAAGTTATTTGAACTTCCAACATGGAAGTCCCATGAGATAGTGCAGCCTCTACTAGTCCGTTGGGAATTATTCGCCGTGGATGTATCATTCACACGATTCAATGTCTGGCCCCTTATTGCGCCCTATCCAGGACGTTTCTCGACTTGACATCGACATGTATGATATCAGGAGGGGGTGCGAATGCAATCTATGGGGAAATCTTAGAAACTATTTTTTGTGAACTGTGCCTTCAACATTGCAGTTGGAGGCAATGGGGAAAATTTTCGCACTTTAATTCAATCCATGAGGATCATATTGGCTCCCGTCCGGAATCATCTATCACAATAGCGATTTTGATTGAATTTCAAAACAGGCCATAATTTCGAGGGCTGAAAATCATAAGATCGTTGAACTAGAATGTGAATGCTTCTGTACAATCGTCGAAAACGTCAAAGAGTTAATGCGTTCAAAACGGCTTTAGTATAATGTATGGAGATGTCAACACAAACTGTTTACGACTACCATTAATGTGCGAAAATTGTTAATGGCCCCTAAATCAGAATAATATAACATGAAATATGGTATTATTTCGGCATTCCACATAACAATGAAGCCAGTCCGCTGATATCGAAGCTACATTGAAAGAATCATTTTGTCTTCCAAACTGTAACTCCTTCTTCCAGATTATGCTCTCTTCCGTTTTCTACAAGAGCTTTTCATTGGCTCACATTGCTCCGTGCCTCTAACATTATCCCGTTCAGATGTTGTTCTACGTCCTTATCGGCATCCTTATTGCAATCCCAAGAAGTGAAAGCATTTTCGGCATTGGTAACCCGCAGTCAATAGCTGTAGACGGCGAGCTTCGATGCAATGGCATTCCAGCGACGAATATCAAAGTTGAATTGTATGACAAAGAAATATGTAAGTTTAAGATTTTCTCTTACTATTTTTGGAATCGAATTACTACTCAGTACGTCTGCCTAAGCGCGGCATTTTACCGTACCTCACGTTCAACAAGAGACCGGACTAACCTATGCTATTCATGGGACGATTCTCGGTAGAGCTGATCCTATCCCGAGGCTACTTCGGAATAAGAGAGAATCATCATGGCAAAAAGGGGAGCGAGCAGAAATTTAATTAGTTTGGGCTTAAGTCATGCCCCTAGTTGCAAATGCCTTAACAGTAAAAACGGCCATCTAGGTTTATCGCATTCTCTCTCCCTCTTTTCTCGGTTTGTCACCTCTTTTGGATGTCACTCTGCGCACAGACTTACCAATGGAAATTTACTAACACCAAATCAGCAGTTGCAATCAATTTCTATTTTACGTTTTGAGCCGGGTAAAGGGGAAGTATAAGACCAGACGGCTCTACCACACTTTGACTGCTGGCATTCAGAGAGAGCATATGAAAAAGACTCCGCTCGATCTTTACCTTACATACGGAAAAAGTGCGTTGAATGCCAAGAATGAATGTCTCCCTTGAAGAGCTAAGCAGTTAAGGATTGACGGGAGATTAGTTAAAAATACAGGAATGGGCCATGAAGTTTTCAAAAAGGCAGAAACGATTACATTAATTCTACAGTTTGCAGTATTCGACACCAAACTGGCCGAAGGTCGAACTGACCCTGATGGAAAGTTCCACCTAGAAGGAGGAAAGAGAGAGTTCACAAATATCGATCCAAAGCTAAACATCTATCACAAGTGCAGTCACGCAGGGGTAAGGAATGTCTTATATTGTTAAAAGCAATCGCTAAGCGATAGCGACAACAACCGAAACTTTTGAAAATTGCACCTAGACCAAGAACGAACATGGGAACGAGAAGGGCTTAAATGTGATAGTAACTGTGGCAAAGGACAATCTAGAAGGACTCGATGTTAACCCTGCCTCATACTTCACATAAGGTGGTGTCCCATATTTGCCCTGCGAGACCACTGGTTTTTGTAAATGTTGACTTTTGTGAACATAACTGAGCCAAACAGTTTCCATGAGGGCAGGGTTTAGATCCTTCCATAGAACACTGAATAAGGACCTCGGTACATCGATAGAAATCGAAATGGTCTGCAAATGCAGCAGTCGCTAAACGAATTCAACTATGAGCGCCCAAAGTCCACTTGGTAGCAGTTTCAGCTTGAGTACGCAGTTGCTTACACAGTAGCAAGCGCTCTCTTCGGATATAAAGCTCTCGCCTCATCAGGCGAAGAATATGGGTTCGCTCACCGCTGTGTGCTAGGTTTTTGCTTGGTGCGGTTTTTTTCCCAGTGAAATTTTTTATCACAACTTCAAATATTTTTCCAACCCTCGACTGAAGACAAGACGTTACTGCACGAAACTGTGTGGCCATTTTTCACGACGTACAAAAAGCATATGATTGTTTCAAATAATTCGTTCTATAAATTTAATCACCTGCCTTTGGGAATTCCCATTTATTTTTCGAACTATGTTTGGACAAATGAGTCATTCCTATATGTTTGTATAGAGGCACCATGAGAAAGTCACGAAGTTTGGGGGCAACATGCCTCCTTCACACATTTTTTGGTTATTTCATCAATGTTGTATTTTCCACGTATATCTATTCGGGGCGATTTCTTGCTCGTGTTCTTATGTTGGATATAAAGAAAAAATACAATAAATTAAGTACACAAACGTTTGTTTTGCGTGAATGCGACGAAGGGTAACCATAGTCTGAATGAGGTGCGGGCTTGAATAAATATTACAATTTCTCTTGATATTTTTATATTTTTTAAAATTTTTATTTATTTTATTTTCAAGTATTTCGAAAATGTATATTATTTAAGTTTTACCATAAAATATTTGCAAGAAAGCCTCCCTTTGGGGAAAAGCACGTTGTGCAAGAAGCCCTACGAGAAGCAAACCCACATCGTTTGTCTGATGAGGTAAGACACTTCTTCCCTTCTGCAGAACCGCTTTATGTGGTGATGAAACTGCCTATTCAAGTGGAATGCGCTCCAAGCGAGAAATCATAGTGGTGGGTAGAGAAGTATGGGAAAAGCTCACTGCTCATCTACACTTTTAGAGTATTTCATCAATTCCTCTTGAATACAACTACATTCGAGTTGTAATTTCAACTACTTGTTGGGTACTAAGCATGAAATTTTATAAGCTGAAAATGTGGTGTTTTCAGGCATGCTACAGGAAAGTGAGCACAGTAATTCCCGACAGCTTCATTACAGAAGGCAAAACTCCGCAACAAGTCTTCCACGCTGGCACAATAGATCTAGATGAAAATCAACCTGGAGAAACGATTGATTGTGTCGACTAACTTGAATAAAGGCATCTTCTCAATGCTAGTCAACCGTTACACTAGCTTTTACTGGGAGAAGGGCAGTAGGAACGGTTTTGTGTAATCGATTCGCCGCACGCGGCTGTCGCGGACCCTTTGCCTCGTTACAACAGTTTTCATACAGCTTAATCGCTATGCGATTACTACTTGTAGGATGATTCCCTGTTAGTTCTTTTGTTCCTGTATTTCTTACTTGCTGCTGCATTTTGCTACATTACTCCGCGCGCGACGCCTCTTTCGCCGCGACGCGACAGTTTCGTTTCTACTGCACCACACCAGCGTTCACGTTTTACAATGAGAAAATGGTGCGGAATTCGTGCGAAACAATGAAAACAAATAATAAAAAACAGTAAATTCATATGATGACTGATGAAGGAAATTATAGCGGTGTAGTGGCAAGCAGCGCACCTTTGCACGTGCATGGCTCGTATCCAGGTTCACGGGTCGAAATCTGCCCAGACCAAACATACCTCCGGAATCGTTTAATCGGTTCCAAACCAGTCTGAGAGGATATAAGCACTGCCTCGAACAAGCAACCAAAAATTTGTCCGTCTTGTCCATAACCGACGATCTTTTGCCGTATATACCGCACCGTGACTTGTGACTCAGTTGCATTATAACGTGATCCTCCCTATCACAAGTACAAGGGAGACAGAATAAGTCTCATTCGCTACTGACAGTCACCTGTGGCGATGGCGGATTTTTATATCCGCTTGTGTGGTGAAACTTTGGTGAATTATGCTTTTAGCTATAGACGTTGAATTCGCCGTCACATTCGCCAGAAGGGCAATGCGATTTTTGGATACCATGCTCTCGAGTTGCTTTAGGCCTTTGAAGAAGACGATAACGTCGAAACGTTAGGCCGCTGAATTAATACACCGTCGTGAACCTTGAACATCGGCTGGTCACCGGAATTCATTGAATAGGCGCCATATTCATTCAGAAATGTCATTAAGATTTTGAATTGAAACTTAAGAGATCAAGGACTCGGTGTGAAGGAAACTCGAAAATGGTTCAATTTTTTTTCGAGGTTAGGGTTTCGATGATAATACATCAAATTTGGGTTACAACAATCTTCCAGACTTGGCTCGTACAAATGGAGAGCCAGGGTGGGAGCGGATCCATTAGTGGCAAATAAGTAGAGCTGCTTCAGAAAATATACCTTCGCCGTGGAATATGGAACCATAAAAGAATAAATCCGCTAATTTTCAGGGAAATTTTCAAACAGGCATAAGGTAACAAGTGTTTCGGATTATTACGTAAACTGTGGCCGATGTGTTTACAAACTATGCCGCAAAGTCACGGGCAGAGGTAGTTCGCTTGCAAAACTCGTAAGCACTTTATCTGGGTGCATACGTGGCTCAATGTTTGTCTCGTTTCCTGTTAGCGAAGACGATCCATTGGGATACTTCGGCTCACGGCACGAAGAGTGAAGACGCTACTGGCTCTCATTGAAGGAGGGACACATAGAAACATTGAAAGTACAATTTCTCACGGAAAAGATTATATGAGAACAGTAAAACGATGTTTGTCGAGAAAGCAATGGTAAAGCGTCAGTGATTTCGTCGGTGCCGGTGTTAAAATTAACAAAGGCGTGTGCTCAAAGTGATAGACGTGCTGGAACACCAATCCGACAACCTTTCCCAAAAAAGCCTGTGATTCTTACAGCAGAGTCCAATCCAGCACACACAGCCGAGCTCGTTCATCATTATAAGTTATAAGTTATAAGCTTATTACGTCTCCGAAAGGCAAACTTGAGAAAGAAAACGTAACACAACGTAAATATTGAACGTTTGTACAAACAGCAAATGCGCGATACAAAGCTACATTAGTTTGTTAATCAGTCTCAAGAAACGTTAGGACCAGTTCCCTTTAGCAGCAACTTAACTACTTGGCGTTTGAACTGTGTTAGCGATGAAGAGACGGGTATATTTTTCACCACGTTTAGATAATCACTGCCACCCTGAAGGTAAAGCTAGCTACTCGCTCGCAAGTTAGTTTTAGGACGTGCCAAGGAAATCTTCATGCAGCCGCCCCTAGTCCTCGAATGTGTCAGCTTGAAGACATTGGAACCGTGACCACACGTGCCGTGTACAAGTTTGTGAACCATACAAAGATCGAAAACCTTGCGTCGCATTTCTAAAGATGTCAGTCCAAGATACTGATTTCTGATAGCAGCCTTTGGTATTCTGGAGTACAAAAATCCACCAATTCGAATGAGCAGCTTACGAGTAAAGTTATTCTGAACCTTTTCAAGCGCGTAGACATGCCTCTTTTTTCTGCTGTTGGAGACCGAAGTGCTGGATTCGACCAGAGGTCGCACATACGACTTGTAGGCACGCAACAGGGCTACTTTATTAGCTAAAGATAGACCTTTAAAAATTTGGAATGTCCGAAGTTTGGCTACTCTGATCCTCGTTTTGATGTGCTCCGTGAAGTACAGTCTGTCGTTGTAGTAAAAGCCGAGGTCTCTGACGGATTGCACAGCAGAGAGAGGGACACCATCAACAGTGTACTTGCGCGTTCGTGAAGTGCAAGAACGTATTTGCATGTACACTGTCTTGTGTGGCGCTAATGGTGCCGACAACCACCCTTCTTCATTAGCGTGAAGGAATGACCATTCTGCTCTCTAGATCTTAATCCACTTGACTCCTCGGTATGGTCCAGAACCCAAAGAGAGTTTGTCCAATTCGCCCAGTTTGGAGCTTTTGAGAGCAATACACAAGAACGATTGGTAAGGAGTGGAGGGCGGACAACTGCGTAGAACATCGAATCGTGGAAATCGAGAAGTCCTAGGGTTCCTATCCGTGCTAATGAAGGGTGTTTTGAGAGATGATTGTAGCTTGTTGTTGCACATAATGTAAGCAAATGTGCACATAGACTCCTTTGCCATTCACGGCTTAGAAGCTTCGAATACATCGGGATGAATAGGCGCCCTCAATTTCGGGGCTTCCTGTGCACCAACCTCTGATCGGAACTCTTTCCAAGACATTGGCTTCTTTCGTTTTCCCACCATTCCTGCAAATGTCTGCACACCTTTTATGACCAGTTCTTCTATGAAAGTACTACTGATCAGATTCCTAGAGAAGCTTCGTCTCGGAACGAATACGTCAAATGTGACGGCTATTTTGATATCAGCAAAAGGCGTGATTGTCAATCTTTGCGATCGAATGCTTATCGCGTACGAATTTTGGGTCGAAACGTTTATCAGCGACCTTTGCATCGCCTACATATCAGCTCGTCAGACCCCATGATACTGGCACAGCACAAACAACACCTCATTAGAACTTTTCACGGCCCCTAGCTGAGCTGGATCCAGGCGAACCAAAGTTCCATTCACCTTAAATGTTGATCTCATTCTATGGATTGACGGCACTCGCTGCGATCTGCTCGTCTTATAAGATCGTTGTATTCGCACCCGATATCTCCAATAGCCAGGTGAGTAGTACAATCCTTCAGGAAAAAGATAAACGAAAGGCTTAAGCAATTAGTAGCTTTTCCCCCGTATTTTCCTATACTGGAATACATNAACAGCAGCGCCAAGTTAAAAATGCCCCATTCTGATGCCCTAAGAATAGCCGCTTTCCCTGCATACTGGACTAAGGCGAAGGCAATGAGAGGATACTTCCTGTGCCTTCTAGAGAATCTCCCGGACCATACCTATTGGCTTATTTTTGTAAGTTTATGGGAAGCAGATGAAAGCTTCTTATCGTCACAAGCTACGGTATTTCCAATGTGGGAGTAGAACTTTCATTCTACTAGAGAAATGTCGGTTCCATTGCGTGGCGCTATAACTATTGGACGAGTGTGGCTTGTAAAAGCACATGTCTTGTACGACGTCAGCCCCAGTTTCTCCGATCCGTGAGCTCATAAAAAGTAGTACCAACTCATTGGAGCTGATTATTCAGTCTTTTACTGATCTATCTGTAAAAACACACGTTCATCTCTTCGATGCATGCGTAAGTGCATTAAACGAATAAATAAATAAGTGAGTTTTCCATTGTGTTCATGTGGAGCATCATAATTCTCATCTTGAAATCCGCTGTTGCTGAAAAGCCTCTCGGTTCAGGTTGGTTGGAATAAGCGAGTCTCAGAAACACTAGCTAAAGCCGGACATGATGTAACCGTAGTGCTGGTCCAGACATTAGAAGATCCTGACAAAGACATCAGCTTTAACTCTCAGGTCAAGGGTATGTCAAAGTTGAACTTATCTAGATCGACCTTCTCTCTGAGTAAATTGATATCATTCCAGTGGTCCCAGTCAATGCTTCATCCGGTCTCACTAAGAAGGGTTTTGAAGAGTTCACGAAAGATACCGTTTTTGGAGTGAGTAAATTCGAACTTGCATAGATAGTCTTCCCGTCTTTACTCTTTCCAGGAGGTCTCACACTTCACAGTTATTCTGAGGTTCTAGTCTAAGGGAGATAACAATAGATATGAGGAGGAGTAGTACAAAATGAAGAATAGAGTGTGAAAGCAGGCGGATTTTAAGAAGGATGAGGCTTCAACAGAGTTGCAATTGCAAGGAAAGGAGTTTGTACGAGATTGTAAGTAAGTGTAAGTTTGTACGATTTGTAATCGTCTGGGTGTCTTCCATGTAAGTGGACCGTCCGTAGCTGCCCTAGCACTTTATTGTGAACGCAGTGGCCTTAATGAGGCCGTCATAACACGACCAACTCTGGGTGTGTACGTCAAGAATGTTTCGGAGCCCTCTTGACGTCCTATTGCAGTCGTCTACCAACTTGACAATGTCCCACGTGCTATCCTTGGAGACCGCAGGTTCATAATATTCAGAACAAATTCTCAGAAAACTTTTTTTCGTAAACTGTGCCTTTCAACTGTTTCCCATTTTCATCGCCCTTTATTGCAGGACCTTCCACTATGGGATCCGAGACATAGGCAGCACATTACAATGTTTATGGGTTCATTAATAGAAGGATGCAAACGTGAGTTTCAAGACGTACTTCAGGATTCCCATAAGACATTTATTGTCGGAGTTTGAAGCTTGTTCTTTGATCATGAGGTATACCCGAGCATTTCTGCCCCAAAGGCATTTAAAAAAAAACTTGCAACGATACCGAGAATAGTCGAGAACGAAGGTGTGAACTAGATCGATGACCTATTCAAAATGGACATTAGAACTTACGTAAGGTTCAGCGAGTTACGAGTTGGAGTTGAAGTTTTTACCTTAACTCGTCAACCTTGTGAAAGTTCCCATCGTCGTTGTCTGAAGCTGCTCCTCGAGTGTTTTTGATGATAAATGAGTCTCCGGGTAAGATTACAACTGCTTGGGTTTCTTTTAGAAGTTCAAAAAACTTCCATAATATTGTTTGGAATTCAATCTCCGAACAATTGCGGGATTCCCTTGGCAATTCAAGAAAATCTTGAAAAAGAGTAATTTCAGTCACTGTACAGAACAAGAAATTCATGAAATGGCTTACTGACGAAAAGTTCGACATCGCCTTTGCCCACATGTATCACACTTGTCCAATTGCACTGATTCATGCGGCGAAAATTCCAACATGGATATGGCTGTTGAGGTAAGTAAGTAATTTGTGGTCTGGGTGAAGTGTAGTGTAGTAGAATATGAGCACGCTTCTTTATACTATCATGCTTTTCTTATAGTTCCCAAAAAATAATAGCTCGTATGATAACTCAAACCTTACAAACTGACTGAAGGTAATCGCTGTCAAAATTTCAATATATAGCAACTACATACATGCTCAGCACCAGAATGCACGAAATTCGGTCAGTAACTTAATTTGACAGAGCGGAGGTAGTGTAGTGGCAGGTGGTGCACTATCAAACACGTGTGGTCATAAGTTCAAATCCCGGTTCGATATCCGCCTAGGCCGATCAAGCTTTTCATCCACTTTCACCTTAACTGATACCATGCTCGTCTGGAAAGAGAAGCACTGACTTGTAAATCACTGGCCACCGCAATTCACTGTATAGGCCACTGCCATTCTGAATGGACGTCGTATGCTCAGGCGCATCTTTCAGACGGAATTGATCAGCACCCGAAAACCTTATACATGTATTATTAAGACTTCATCTTAGTCTGCCAGCAAACTCTTACTAAAGGTGTATTTTCAGTGGGCAGCTCATCGATACTGTTGGAACACTTGTCGGTGTTCCCACATATCCCAGTTACGTTCCACGTGAGTTTAACTCGTTCTATTTGGAAACTAACCGGGTAGATTTTTATTACTCTTTTAATTTTAATTTTTTACTCATTTTTTTATTACTCATTTACTCACAAAGGACGGCCCAAAAACTGGTTCGCCCCAAGTTCATCTAGAGCACATGTTCCATTTTCATTTTGTTATAATCCGTATAATACAAGTTCCTATGGTGCTACAAAGTGGTCTCCATGAACGATTTGTAGAGGACCTTACTACGGCTAAACCACCTTCATTGTATGAATTCTCTAGAATGTTGGAGGGCAACGCTTGACAAAATTCATTCTTTGTGACGAAAATCTTAGGAAGTCAGGCTTGTCGCCACCCATTCAGATCTCACTTGGAACCGGGTTGGACTTTGTTAGCTGTGTTTTTTTTTTCATTTTTGAGATTCGGTCATTACTATAAGCATGCCAGCAAAATGCCTGTGATATACAGTAAAAATTAGAGGGAATTGAGATATGAATAATTAATTCCGAGGTTTGACCCCTTAGCAACGTCCACCCATTGACAGTATGCTTTCTCGAAGGACATCGGGTATAATTAGGGCGGTGTCAATTGTAGAATCGATCATGCGCATATCACCGGGATCGAGCTCGGAGTAGACCCGGCATTCATAAGCAGAAAAGCTTTAGTCCATTCCCTGTCGTTGATCTCTACGAATTCATCCGAGAGGAGTAGCACCCATATGGACCTCTGAAAATTGCAAAAAAAAAAGTAGTAAAATTATGAAAAGAGAATGAAAAGTGTGAAAGAGCATTCAACTTTCTGAAAGGCAAATCAAATATAATTTCCCACTTCATTCAGCTCTGATGATGGAAAGCCTTGATGAAATGACTTTCTACGAGAGGACAAAAAGTTTTATTGGGTACAATCTCGCTAATGTGATGTATCCTCGGTACGATTTTCCTCTGTAATCCTGAAAATTGAAAAACAAAGAATTCTTGATACGGTATGGTTTAAGGATGGTAGTCAACAAAGAGACGGCAATAATGAGACAGTACTGGGATCCGAACTTCCCCGACATCCTGGATTTGGCAAGCAAATGTCCGCTGGCAAGTGAACTACTGGCGATTTTCCAAATGTTCAAAAGTCTATCCGTTTCAAGGAAACTTCACTTATATTTGTTCTTTAAGATGTACGCATGTTCGAGAAATGTTCTTTTTCAGGTTATGGTAAACTCCAATGAGCTGTACGAGTTCCCGAGGCCAACACTCGCTAAGGTAGTGAACATTGGTGGACTAGGAGCTGAGCACAAGGATGCCAAGCCGTTGAAAGAAGTAAGTACAACAACGATTTTCAGGTCGCAACGATGCTATCTATTGAGGAGAGGAAGAGGGATGTGGGGTGTGGGAGAAGGTGAGTGGAGGGGCGAAAGAAGAAAAGTGGTCTGTTAGTCCGCAGGAATGAAAAGTAGACTCGAAATATTTCCCAAATAGGGCTCAAGGCCAAATATTTCCCAAGATGGGCTCAAGAGACGGTTTCAATTATTTTTATGTCAACTATCATAATCGTAATCACGGCGTTCAGAGTGAAGTATGTACATACAGATTCAGAAGTCACTCTTATTTCAGAATTTCAAAAAGATAGCAGAAACCGGCAAAGGACTCATCATCATGTCATTTGGATCAGTTGCACATACTGAATGGATGCCGGAACACTGGAAGACGGCTATTCTAAAAGCCTTTTCTCGATTCCCTGACTACCAATTTGTTATCCGATACGTGCTAGACGATTTGAAAGGTGCGACACAACTGCACATTAGTGCTTTCATCGATATTCTTGCATATTGGACTCAAGGTCCTCAGCATAGCATCCGTTCCAGGTCGGCTTCCACCTAATGTGCACACTTTCTCATGGCTACCTCAAGCTGATCTCCTTTCACATCCAAACACGAAAGCATTCATTTCACATGGCGGATACAACAGCCTTCAGGTCTGATCTGTTTATTAATACACTGGAAATATGTGACGTAGATGAGCTTATTCTTATACCAGACGTAAACACCACACTTCGGCCACCCTCCCCACCCCCTTAAGTGAGTATCCTAAGTTCCGCTCAAATCTCTGCCTCGACTTCGGTAATTTCTTGAANCCCCCCCCCCCCCCCCCCATTCAGTGAACTGATCAAAGTGGAATAGTGCTAGTTGTAAATGGTTAGCCGCATGCGTGGGCAAAAGTCATGTTCTGTCTCCCACTCTTAGTCAACTAAGTTCCCATCCCTATTGGAGTCTCTTTGGTCGGTTGACAAAGTCTGAAAACCGTGGCTCAACGGTCTAGCACCAAACAGGAGACTCCTGGTCCTCGGAGAACTAGTGCCCCCGTCCTGCGCCCCGCACAACGGCTGCACTAGTCCTCTGTGGACCAGGAGGCTCCTGACGGATAAAAAGAATATTGGCTCGAAGCGACTCCCAGTCTTTCGGAGTCTGCGTCCCTGCATCCACTTCAGGGAGTGCGCTGCGAACGAAGATATGACCCAAATCTCAGGGGTTACCAAGACACCATGCCTGACTATACTAAATTCCATTCAGGTGAAGGCGGGCTGATTCATTAATAAAATTGACACAGTATGCAATAAATATTCATTCTACAGTCCTATTAAGGAAGCGATCAATTCCGGCGTCCCTCTCATCACAATCGCCCTTTTCGGCGACCAGTTCAAAAACTCCATGATTGCTGCCAAGCACGGTTTTGCAGTGAATATCAGAAAAGGAGAAATCAGTGAAGAGACCTTGTATGCAGCTGTCAAAGAGGTTTTGACTAATAACAAGTGAGTTGTCAGGGGTATAAGGAGGATGGCGACTTCTTACATCAAATCAGAATCTTATTTTAAGATATTCCCGTAATGTCAAACGACTATCGTTGATGGTCCAGAAAAAGCCAGTCAATCCAGAACATTTGCTTGTCAAGTGGACTGAGTTCGTGGCTGAATTCAGGACACTCGACAATTTGGTTCCAGCTGGGACAAAACTCAACTTTATACAGTATTACTCCATCGACGTTATAGGAACTCTGCTACTGATAGTGATCACTTTTCTGTTTATTGTTTACAAAACTGTTAAGTTGCTTGTTTTGAAGTGCTGTTGTAGGTCCAAAAAGGCTAAGAAGGAGTAAAAAGCAGGAAGTAAATACAATAATAGAGATATACAACTACTATCGAAATAAATTTATTGGATTATTATACATGTCATCTTCCTCAAAAACATACATGTCGCCCACGACTAAGTAGGCTACCCATCGGGAAAAACGACAATAGAACTAGTAAATAATCATTCTCTTGAATCGAACCCTGCGTCAAGCGAGACAGACGCTAAAGAATAAGAAAATAATTTATGTCTCCAGCTGCAAGAAAGATGAAATAAAATTTTTTACCACAAAGAAGCGAGAAAATTACAAAGTACCCACAAATTAAGGAGGCAGACACAACTGTTGACCAGACTGTATGAGCGTGACTTTGCAACTACCCGAGCGATGCGCCATAAAGATGTGCAATGATATGACAGAGAGGAGGATGAGTAGCATTAGTCCTCAGGACCACCGTACTTTTTAACACATCTTGCCTGACGTATGAAGTACTCCTCACAGTCGGCACCACGAGGTGTCATCGTGGACGAATTGTAACACCTAAATGATTATGAACCGACTCAATACAGTTTCAAGTGTGGGATTCAATGAGTAGCAGAGCAGTTGAATATTCAAAGCCAGATCGAGTTTTCGGGGAACATTCTCTCTACTATAACTGAATGGTCTAAAACAAACCCTGCAGGGGCCTGAACCAGTGCAATTAATAACGACCTCAGACCTTCTAGCATCACTGCTCTTGCATGGAAAACAGAGAACCTTATAACAATGAACTTCATCCCAAATACCTCAATCTCCGCTACTATGTTAACGGACGCAAACGAGCTACACACATACCAGAGACGCACAAGCTACCATCAAGAAGAGTAAATTTACCGGATGGCTTCTCTCATCAAATAACCGCATCGATGCGCGAAGGCAGAATGCAGGCATGTGCATTCCTCGTTGATACGTCCGTCAGGTAGGAACGATGCTAAAATATCGCCAGTAATCAAAAAATATGGATAGGGTAGTGCGCCAATATAGTACAAGAGCTGGAGCATTGTGGAGGACCAGATCATTTCAAATTTTTATCAAAATTACAGGGTGCGGCAAAAGTTCTGGCAATGGCAAATATGGTCGTAAAAACGATCAAATCGATCGAAACATGATACTACACCAACAGCATTTATAAACAGCTATATAGATCACAAAAACAACCTAGATCTCGAAATGGCCTCCTTTTGCGCGAATACAGGCCGAAATTTTCCTACGAGATGCGTCGACGGCGGCACGGAGGTAGCCTTCGTCCGAATTCTCCCATGCTTCAACGGTGGTTGCACGTGGAACATCCAAACTTCTATGCTTAGTAGAGCACGCTTTCTTCTTAAGAACTGACCACACGGAATGCTCCAATGGATATGGGGCTGGACTGTTTGGGGGCCAATCGTCCGACGAGATGAGATCTGAGAAGTGCGTTCCGCACCAGTCCTGTACCACTTCGGACTTGAATTGATCTTTTGAAAACAGACATTCGTCAGTGAAAAGGATGGTGCTGTGCCGTGCCTGCAAAAATCGTTTTAAAATCTCCATACATCTTCCTAGCCTAGTTTTCTTCACACGCTCAGTCAACATGTGAGCATTACTGATCTTATAAGAGCAAGGCCGAAGGTGGCTGGTGACAATCCTTCCAACAAATCGAGCAGAAATACCCACCTCAAAAGCCTTTTATTCTCGGACCTACAAGGTGGCGGCGGATGTTCTCTCGAATGACTTTCACGATCTCCTTTGTCGTTGCACTCTTCAGTCTTCAACTTTTGGGCTTGTCCTCCATAGTTCCTGTCGACTTGCACCTGTTGAGATTGTTGAACACGGTTCTTAAGGAAATCTGGAACTGTTTGAAGGTGGTCTTTGCCGTGCATCCAGCCAGATGGAGGTACAGAATGGAGGCTTGTCAGTCTTTGCTCGTCACCATTCTGTAAATTGGAATATTCAAGAACGGCACGTTCATAGAGGATTAGAGGATTTGCAGCAAATAGTGGCACAGACCCTGTCGAGATCGAAGGCTTCATTTTCTTATGAGAATCTGAAACGGCCTTTGCCAGAACTTTTGCCGCACCCTGTACATATAATGGTCCTGGACTGTAACTGTCAATGTATAAAGTGTCATTGCATGAGACTTCTGCCTAATTAATCTATTATGCTACTAATGCACTTGATCTCTATCTTAAAATTATGAGCGTTCTCGCTAATCGTCGAAGAAGCAGAAGAAGTGAACTAGGCTTACATGGTTCGTCCTTCTTGGGTTCAAGCAAGTGTTTCAAGTCCGGTGCCAAGGGCTCCAGTAGCTCCTTCTTGCTTAAAAAGTGGACCGCGTGCTTCTGTTCCATTGCTATATGAGCACTTTCAGCAAAATATGGCTGTAAAACATGCTTTGTCACAAACGATATAAGCACTGAATAACAGTAGGTCACTACAAGCCTTTTCAGAATATTATAAGAACTACTTTATCGCGAAATCTTGACAATACAGTGGAAATGACTGCAACTTGACGATGCGCACCAGTACTTCGTACTCAGAACTTCTCATCATCGATAAGGTTAGCTTTCATCTGTTGTTTTCGCTCTTCTATAAAAAAGCGGTAGAAGGAACCCCTTTGAGAAACAAAAACAGGAATTTTGGAAACTGACCACTCAAACGCTGCATGCAAGCCACCCATTCGACGAATTCCTCAGGACACTTCATCGTGTTGTCCTCTTTATCACTATTGGACATGCAAATATAGAGTGGACGAAATAAATAACCGCATCTGAAGATACAGAATACATAAAATGAGTAGTTGTCTCACTTCAGATGGTCTACTTCAACTGGTCAAAACGATTTTTAACGAGACGTGGACATCAGCTACACGTGGATTGGCAATGCACACGATTCCATCCTTACAGGAGCAAGCTGATCGGATTGGAGAGAGTGGTAGTATGCCTTAGAACCACGCAAATGGCCAGTAGATGGGTAGACTGAATATTTTTCATCTAAACCGCGCACACCGACTCATCTACTATTTCATTATTGTGGGCTATACTAATGCTTCTAATAAAGAAGACAGAATATTGACCATGCCGTCATGCTAGCCTCACGAAGCGCAGCTCCACTCACAAACAAGTATGTGGCATGCTTGCTAGGAAAGAAATGAAAGCGCAATATTTAGTCCAAAATAATAAGTAGAATTTAGTCGAAACATCGAAAAAGAGCTAGGCAAAGGAGGTAACAAACCTATGAGCAACCAAAGATCCTCCTGCCATGCAAGGACATTGCCAATTAATTGAGCCATCAGGGAATCTGGGACCTCCAAAGAAAACTTTTAATAGTTCGAAATGTTTCACAATATTGCAAAACTCATTACAGTCACCTATTGGCTTTTCGAAAACTTTTAGGGTGCTCATCCATGAACAGTCTTCAGAAAGCGGTTTAGAGTGCTCTTCCGAGCTCATGAATAACACTACATCTTTAGGCGCGCAATCTATCTTCCGCCGAAAAAGCCACATCTGAAAACTTGTGCTCTTTTTCTCTTAACACGGGGTAAGAGCCTTCGATGGCTTAAATAAATCAAGGGTTAGCGACCTATTTTATTCCTCACAAAAACACGATAGAGCCAAAGTTTTATCTTCATATGTACAAAAAGAGAACATGAAAAATCGACAACAGAGATCCACTATGAAGAGCAAAGATTCAATCATTAGACAAATTATTAAGTCGACGGAGTGAATTCAGTGCAATCTTCAACGATTTGAGGAAACAGTCACGGAAAGAAAATAAGCAAAAATACAGCAAGTGTACTCGATTATTTTTCAAGGGCACCGATTTTCCACGATAGTTCTTCCAGTCTCATCGTACTCAGACTTGGCAATCCACATTTGTTGGAAAGATCCCTAGAAATAAATAATGACAATGAAGGATGGTGATCAGTGTTGTCGTTTGCGCACTGCCAGTAAATTGATTCTGCGTAATCGTTACTGACAAAATAAAGAAGAAACTTTCGAAAAAACGCTAACAATAAAGAAAGGCCCTTTAAGGTGAAACTTCTTTTCCGCACTGAGCTGAGAATGTTCAGAGAAAGGGTCACGCTAAGAACTGGGGAAAAGATAATGTTTTGAAATGAAAAGAAAACGATATGAGGAACAGCATGGGGAATGATAAAAAAGGTCAAAAGACAAACCAGTGATCCCAAGATTGAACCGCCAATCCAAGCACCAAATCGTCTCTCCATGGGTGTGGGTGCAGCGGATACACGGAGTTTAATCGTCTGAAGATAAATGATTTCTCTGTGAACAGAAACTCAACAGAAATAGAAACCACATGACTCAAATATGAAAAGATATTGAATGAATTTACATCAAAATTAAAATTAGAGGTTTAAGATGATGATATTGAACTGAAGCAAATGACAGTAACTTAAGGTCAGGGCGTATAGGGTGTACGAGCTTCGAAAATGTGCTGTACCTCTGATGCCAAACATTGATTCCCACTTCTACTGTAGGTCAAGTCCCAGGACAATCAAAAATTTGAAAGACTGGGCGGCGAAAGACTTACCCAATGGGAATCTTAGGAAACATTGATCAATACATGAAACTAAGTACTCGATATGAAAAGGGAATGCAAAATACACACAATAGAAAATAGCCGTAAGAGTAATCGCAAACGTACCGGAGGGCATTTGTGGGCCAGGTCGTGATTGAGCCGTTCAGTGAATCCAAGGATGAGAGAATTTCCGCCAGTAACCATGAGACCGCTGTATAAGGTCTAAAACAAGTGAAGTTCACAGATTAGATCCGAGAATAGTTCTTAACATGGTTCGAATCTAAGTTCGCACCGGACGTATGTCGATGTCGCACATTCCTGCAGCTGTAGTTGCTATCTGGGTCACATTTAGTAAGGTCGACTGTGTTGCTGGCATATTACGAAGATACTTGAGGTCAAAAAGGCTTTCCGGGACTTTTATACGCTCAGCAAGGAACTCCTGCAACATGAAAGCATTACACTCAAATATTTTGTTGAAGACCTGGGAATTACAAAACGGCAGTAGATGTAGATAGATATATAGATACATCATCGATTCTGGGCAATCACCATCCCAACTATTTTTTAACACAGAATGTTAGAAATCGAGGGTACAACAAACACCGGAAACACTTCAATTATTTTAGCACTGAAGCGATTTGAACAATGTTATCTGTTCGAAAAAATTAACGTTAAAACAGACCTTGGTAAAACCATTCGGGAACGAATATGGTGCAGATGGCAACTTTTCGGCATATTCAGCATCAAGAGGAGTATCACATAATTGCAAAACGGAAACTGCCATATCTTCGAGGATCTGAATTATGACGATGAGGTGTTTTGTGCTTTTTGATAATAATCAACAATATAACTGTTCAAGTGATTAACCTGCTTCTTCATGAACTTGTCGTAACTCTCTGTGACTTCCGGTAAACCTTTCCTCTTGGTCCAACGAGGTGGCTCGTTCTCATTAACTTCTTCCTGAACAATCAGTCTCTTGAACAACCAATCTAGGAAAAGGTAACAAAAGATGAAGAAATGATATTCTGAGGAACCGATAATTCTAGGAAAGTCATCAGTCGTTACAAACCCTACGAAACTGAACAAAATGGAGAGAAGAGATCGACAGTCCTATTTAGGTTGGAGCCTGATCTGATTCTGTTTCAAGAGAGCAACTATGGGACCTTACCTTTCCACCTATTTTATAAATAGGCACCACCTCAATGTTCTGCTCATCCAACATGTGTTGTAATTGCTCACAGATCACATCTCCTCCGATAGGGGATCGCACAACAGCTGAAAAAGTCCAAATTTGAAATTAATTTTCAACCGACAATTAAGAAAAAGCACTGAAGATATATGAGAAAACTGTTCATTTACCATGTGTGACAGCATAGCCATCGTAAACGGGAACAGCTGAGGTTTGCGTTGCCCCGCTGTCGACCACGAGACCGCTAGTGCGACCATTTGCAAACCTAAAGAACATCTTTAAACAGTTGAAATTCGTTCACATTAAGCAGTAACCTCATCAAAGCTGCACAGAGACAGAGAAGAAAGAAAATAATTCAGCAATGACCCTTTGTCATGAGCTGATATAAAGGTGAAGCATTTCTAGCATTGTAAACCAACAACTAGCAATTACTATGCTGAACAAGCACCATATCGCGAATCTTGCAAACGGTAGCAAGCCTTCGAACTTCTCGAGACCTACTCATTCCTTTGAAATACTTTAGAAAAAGGAAGTTGTGAAGGAATACTCTCCATCACCTAGCCAAACAACCTTCGTTTTTGTGAAAGCTCACTTCTTTGAATCTAGCCCATCTCCCCGGTCTCCTTTCCCTCACTCACGGATAATTTGCGCTTATCTTCACTACTTTGAAGTCGTCCAATACTAGAATAAACGAAGGAAGAAGTCATTAGAAAGAACAATGAAAGATAGGAAACTATAGTTCTGATAGCAAACACTTACGCGGTTAATACAGCATTTTTGCAAAGAAAGAACGCAGGAATGTTGTACTTCTCAAACATGAGTTCTGTCAAACGTTCGCGTTTTGCTTTATCATTCCACTAAATACTGTTTAATAAACAAACAAACAAGGAAAATAAAAGGAAGTGAAACAAATGAAGTTACTTTCAACACAGCCAAAGACTCACCGCACTTTCTGTGAACAGAGCAGGGTGATATTGAGTTTCACTGTGAAGAACTTCACTGTAAGAGTAATCCAAGAGGTTTTCAAACATTTCCCAATCTTCAACTGCAACGCAAAACTATTAAACAAACCATTCAAAACCAGATGAAAATCGCTATTTATGCAAGAATGGAGATAGACTTACTCATCCCATCTTTCATAAAGCTCTGAATCGTAGTCTTTGGCCTTGGAACAACTATTTTTGTCGTTCCAATAAACATATTTCGTTTCTTTTTCACATTGTTCGATTCAGCCCCTTCCTTCATCTCAACGTCTTCATCTGCTTCAACTTCTTGAACAGCGACGTAGGAAGGGATATCACCCTATAACCGATCTATTATGTTTGCATGCTAGAAAGCGAAAAAAAAACAAGACAAAAAGATACTTTGGGATACTCCTCTCCCGCAAAGCCGACACGTAAGGTATGTGAACCGGCATCAAACACGACACCACTGACTTCGTCTAAAATTCACACCAAACGAATAAAAATTACATGAACACATGCATAGCACACGAAAAAGTGGTAAAGAGAAAAAAGTCCAGCCAAGAAAATTAGATTGAGATTTTCGAAAACAACAAAAACCTACCTCCACCGTAAATACCGCCACTCATTTCGATGGGGCGTTCTGAAACGTTCAAATACTCGCCAGCAAAACACTCTAATTTGTAGTGAAAAGATAAAAAATCAAATAAATCACGAAAATGCGAAAATCATACTAAAAATTTAAAAAAAGCACTTAGAAGATTTCGAAATTGACCCAGCTCGTAGCAAACTCGTCCATTCAAAGGTACGAGGTCGCGCGCGACGTCATTATCACTGGGACAGATCTCCTCCACGGAGCAGTTCATAGTTATCGAGGAATTCTCCATTTTAGATAGTATTAGCTCCAGGAAGCGGAGGCGATAATCAAAGTATATTCCATTGTTGTTGTTCATTGTCGCCAAGTCGCCTATGTGACTTAACATGTTTGGGATTGTCCATTCTCGTTAAACCTTCCATATCGACAGTAAACACCGAAGATTTTGTCGGATATTCATGGTCATACTTGTTACTATAACTTAATTGACGAGTTCATACCCAGGATGACTTGTTAAGGTTCGACAACAAGGGTGGACTCCCAGTAGTATAAATGCCTAAAACTTCCGATGTCATCTCCATCATACCAAAAAAACTTCCTTTATTTTGATCCTTTGCCTTCTTCGCTTTCCAAGCCATCACTTTAAGGCTATTTTCCAACAAAATGGCTGAGTTACAATTTGAGCAGTAACTTTCTTGTTTAGTTTTACCCGTATCGAATTGTTCAATTGAAGTTTTGGTAATAATCGCTTCTTCGAACCTATTCACGGAGAAGAATTATTGATGGCATTTCAGGCTTCAAAAAATTTCTTCAAATGTTCAGCTTCGAGACAATTTATAGGTCTATAGAAAGAAAAAGTTGGTAGGTAGGTTTTTCGTGAACATTTGCGCGATTCCATCTCAAACTATTTGGTTTACACCGTGTTCGGTGAGAGACCAGTATAAAAGGCCGTTTCTTTGTGTTTGCTTTCAATAGCCATTATCATCATATTTTCTTTTCAGTACTATTTTGCCTTAGTTTTTACTTTATTACTCTTCCTTTTCACATCGTTGCATTCAGTGCTTTTCCGAAATTCCTTTCATTTTCATGATCACTGTTATTTCTTGTATTGTTAGACTTATTTGTTGGTCGTTGAACCCCGTATTATTTGAAAGCCCAACTCTCAACGTTTAAAAAACCATGGCATATTATCATCCACTTACATTATCTGCTGATTTTGTTTTCTTATAGTGACTGACTATCTTACTTTACCTTATCTAATAGTACTTTTAGTCTTTTCGCTTTCAACATCACGGCATCATATACTTTTTGTAAATTGCTTTCCTTCCCATTTCCACGGTCTCCATTGATTTATTATTATTATTACTTTATATTATTTGTTATTATTACTTTTTCGTTAGTCGTTGAACTCCGCTTCATCGAATGCATAGTTTTCAACAACTGCAAAGTATGGCCATAATCACACAGTTAATTTTTCTGCTTGCCCCGTTTTCTTACTTATTTTCGGCTTACTTTGTTCTAGTTTTCTTTGTTTTACTTATTACTTTTATTCTCTTCCTTCACAACATCACGATAACACGTACTTTTGTGATGTGCCTTCCCTTTCCGATGACGTGACCTCCGTTAGTTTCCCATGTTGTTGGAATTTTTCATTGTTCTTTGAACTACGTCACCTTCAAAAGTTCTTCTCGTACAATTGAAAAGGATGACAAATAATCATAGCGACAAATCATTTCGCTATCTTTTTGAAGTTATCGACCACAAAAAATTGGCGCACTTCAAGGTACCCAGTAGTTCTTGTAGTGGTTGGTGTGAATTGTCATCATTTGCGGGCGTTCCAAGAACTTTTCATTCCTAAACACTCAGCCATTGTAGTGGGATAAGGTCATTGAAATTGATATTTAGCGAAGGAGCTGTTTGAACAGCAACAGTTTCATTCTTCTTCAATTCTTGTTTATTTGTTTATGCCCTTTTCCAACGGACTGGACTGGTCCTTGTGTGAATGCATCTGCAGTAGCCACAATACCTCGTAGCTCAGTATAGTTGAACCAAGCTGGTAATAATGTTGTGCTCAATTTTTCATTGCCTTTAAAGGGTAATGGAGGTGAAGAGTAGGTCATTCAAGTGGACAACGTTGACTTTTGCACACTTTTTTTCCAACAAGAACTTAAAAAGTAAAAATAATGCATGGTACTGATTTTTTTATTCGTTCAACCCCCAAAATTTAAAATTTTCAGCAAACTTGCAATGTTACCAGTAGGAGAACCTAGAGCGGAGATAACAATCTTGCCACAAAATGCGTTACGAACGCGCTATGGCCTGAGTCAAGAAAATAACCCCTATCGTTCCTCGTCTGGGAGTTCGAGTTCGTTTGGGATCATCGAATTGTGGCCCTATATGGCTTTTGCTACTTCTGTGAATCGTTTTCCTTTCATAAATGCTTATCTGAATAGGATCCCTTTCGTGGATTCAAGGACATTTTTTGATCCTAGACTCCATGACTACTATCAGTGTTGGGTTATATGGCTTCTCGTCATCTCAACTTTTATGGTCACTAACATAGACCGCTCATCTAGAAACATTTTGTCGCACAAAATACTCTTCAAGTACGGTTTGAATTGTAATAGACTTGTGTTGTCCTTAAGACAACAACAGCTGATAGGGACGTTGTAATATACGCTATAAATTGCTTTCAGAGCGTATTAATAGCTTTCGAATGGTAATAATACCCCTAACATTTAGAGAGCATAGTTAACTTTTCATTGTGATTTCCAGGATAGGGTTCAAAGTAACCACAGGAGAAAGTTAATAGCATGACAGAACTCGCCACCAGCAGGCATAGCTTAGTCGCAGGCTTTCTTCTCTGCCATTTCCTTTCAGTGACTATGACACATTCGTCATTTTTACCCTCACTTTTTCTTAAGGGCATGCCATTGTGTAGAGATAATTCCCCATAACTACTGCCGCGCTTTTAAGTTCTGGCATTGCCTCCATCAGTCTACTGGGCTTTGCAGACACTTTTCCAAAACGTTCTTTTTTATAGCATGTGGGAAGCGTGCGGAACTGCAGCTGTGAAGTTGATAGTGAACATCACATTTTCTTTTTTCGTCTCAACTTCGTCTTGGCATCAGCAATAGACATTTTCGAAATTGTTTTTATGGAATGTGGACGCTTCCCAGATAACGTTTAAGGCTACGAAAGTGATAGTGAATGCTGACGTCTTCCCAGATGGGAAACTTCAAAAAGACTCACAACCAGGAACAGGTAGTAGTTGAACAGGCCGATTTGATCCGAGTTGGCGCTACTAATGTAAGCTCATATGGCCTTTACTGTATTCACGGTCAGTTTGAATCCAAAAAAGTTATGTCGTCTTTTCACAATTTCATCAGATTGTATAGATAGCAGTACATGACGTCTCAACTATTTTCGAAAGTGTTTTTTTTTTGGAAAATTTCGTCATTCTTACAGTTAGATAACATCCAGAACTAACGAGCTGATAGGAAGCGCTAGGGTTCATTTAAGAGGGAACTGATGTAATTGCGCTTTCAATTTCTAAGCGCTCCTCTGAAGCTGGGATAGCTGGGATCGACTTCTTGTAGCTTTGCCCACACAGTTTCCGTCATTTCCCTATTCCAGCTAACTTCATGTCGTCTCCCGTTTCGTAGTACTGAAAACATATGCAAGCAAATTGAAGGTGGTATTCTTCTGAGCTGTCTGACTCATTGTTTGATTAATCAGGTTCACTTTCATCTCAGTTGAGTAATCTCCTCCGACTTATTCCGAAGTAGTTCGCTAGGCCTGTGACCTTGAAAACTTACTCTGTAGTGAACCGAAATAAATTCGCAACGTGTCGTACACCTTGCTTGACTTTAACTCTCGAATATGTTATCCACTGTCTGTCCTGTAGGATACTTTTCACACCTCATTATTTCCACATTTCGCTCAATCTTTGTGATCTTCTTGTCATAAGGCTTAGTGGGTGATTTGGAACTGATTAATCAAAAGTTATGTGACGCTTGAGGAACATTTTTTGACAACAGGTGTTTCTATAGGAAGGCAAAGATAATAGTAGCGACATTTATAATAACAATACCATTAGAGCGTGCTTATGTTAAAATGCCCTACTAAATATTAGATTTCAAGTTGAGAGTTGGTGTATCACTTTACCGTCATTCCACCCGCTAATATGGATACCAGTAAAAGTGCATAGTGCGGGCGTATATACCTACAAGTGTGATACAGTGACAAGTGATGCACTACCATACACGCGTTTTCTCGGGATCGACATTCGCCCATGCCCATGCCTTCCATCCTTACAGGGCCCGTTAATTAGCTCCAGACTGGTCTTGGCTGATAGAAGCAGTGATTTGCCCATCGCTTGACCACCACACTATCCTTCATACAATCCAAAAGTAGTGACAGTGAACAGGCGGCCCGGCTGCAAGGCGGTCGTCACAATAAAGCTGAGTAAAAGGATATTTTTAATCGACGCTTTCCTCGACTTTGTTTTTCGTATTCGGATCCTTGAAAGGGACAGAGTGGTGAAAACGACCATAAATGCGTAGGAGGAGATGACATTATTTCTCACGGGATCCATGGAAGCCGACCGTCTCAGCCGACCAGTGACTAAGGAAAAGGACTAAGTCAAACTTCTGACAACTTTCCTTTTTCGTTTGCTCGTGCAATCCTAATGCGGGGCCCAAAATGTGGGCCTTCTATGTGCTATGACTTATAGCTCATTCCCTTCGCCGTGAACTATCACCAACGAACTACTCAATAAAGGGAACGTATACTCGTTCGTCCTACTCCATTGAGGCCGGGCGCGCATTTCAACGAGAGCGGAGCTCATTGTCGGGAGCAGGAGCAAGCTTAAAGAGGGATGACCCTCTTCCTGCTCATGAGCGGTGCTTCTTATGACCATGATCACAACAAGGTAGCACTGGTGTCGAATATACCGCAATCGAGGTGTGCAGTGGTAGTTCATGGTGAAATTGGACTCCAACGAAACTTTGGCCCAGTTTTCTTAATACATATGTGCTATCTGCGCATATGCAATAGCGTCCATGGGCAGAACCAAGACTGATAAAGGGAGTTGTATGAAGGGCTACTTTACAACGGCTCCCACCCGCGAAAAAAGAAAATTCCCAATCAATCACAGACCAACATCATGTTTACGTATTACATGAAAATGGAGAACGCCAAAGCGGTTTAGAACGGAGTGATTTGATCGACTACTCTGGAGTAATCATCGTGTTTACAACCCCTTTAGAGGCCTGTACTTCCATTCGTTCTTGTAATTAAGGAACTATAAAATTGGTTTTTAAATAAACTCTCTAGTTGAGTGATTTGGAAAAAAATGATTCATAGAGTTTTGTTCACAGATCATACCTTTTTACGCTTTTTCTCTTGGATATTCTAAACCATCGATAGTTTCCGTCTGTCAAATGATAGCACCCGCAATTCTCGTCTTGATCGATTTCAGCAGCGTGTTTGATAAGGTATCAGTATGGCCCCTGATCAGTGGCCGGTTCGTGTTTTTTTTATGATGCTCGGAAATTTTGTCCAATAAAGTAAAAGTTTATTTCTCTTTAAAGATTGTTAATGTGAGACCTTACTATTTTTTCCCGTTCTGGGCACATTTATATTCTTCTATATGATGAGTTTTAGTTGCTTCTTCCTGCTTTGATGTGGTATAGACTTCACAAGGCAGGTATTCCAGTAGTCGTTCTTTTCTTAGGGCATGGAGCATTGGCGAATTCAAAGAAGTTTCTTCAAATTTTCGTGCCTTCTACAAGGACAATTTGACAATGATAGCAGCACAGTCGTGTAAGACTGGAGACAGTCCTCTATAAGCTTCTCCTCCACCTTTCTAGTCGCTTGTAACAAGCTCTGATTCGAATGCAGGCATTGCTGCAATCGCATGTACTGACTATAAAGCTTGGATTACGGTTCTAATACCTTTATCTATGCACGACCTTTGGAGTTTTTAACAACCTGCCGTCATATTGGTACCTTCATACAGCTTCTCGAATGGAGACTGAAGAAAAAGAAACTAGAAGGGACTAGAAGGAAAACGAAAAATAGGGGTATTTGAAAAGCGAACGGAGATGGTGTTATGGCTAGTGGCGCATTTCACACACGCATGGTCACGGGTTCGAGTCCCGGACCGATGTCCTGCTAGGCCTACGAAGCCTTCCATACCTCCGGGATCGATTATTTGGTACCAGGCTCGTCCGGGAGGATAAAAGCACTGACGTGTGCTTCGGCTGGCCACCGCAAGTCATTGTATGAACCACCTTATTACAGTACTGCGATTCTGAATGGAAGTCGAATGCGGGGCGCATCCCTCTGACGGGATTGATCAGCGCCCGAGACTTTATCCTTTATCCTTTCTTAATCAGAAAAACCGAATCGTTTTTGAAGCTACGGAAAGTGGTTCACCTCATATTTTGAATAGAGTTCACCGCATAAAACTCGACTTCACTGCAAATCGGCCATATTCATAATCGAAACCGGCAGAGTATGCACATAAACTTTGTTTGAATGTATAAATTTATATCATTTATTAAAAAATGATTATGATAAGTAAGAAAGCAAAGTCCGCTGGAGCTGCGGAGAAGTTTTTATTTGTCATCCGTATTGATAGTCTCAAATGAGTATTGATTTAAACCTTTTACGTGAGCCATTTTGCTTCTGCAGTTTGATGTTTCTGGCTGTCAATCTTTTCCTCTTATCCCATTGTTCGAAGCTGCTTTCTGTGGCAAACTTTGCTCTCAAGTAGGTTGGAACAAAGAAAAAAAGATAGAAAGAAAGAAGAAAGATAGGGAAAAGATGAAAGCGGACTGGAAAAGTTTTAAATGGTGCAAAAAATTTTCTGTTATACTATTTGGTGACGGAAATGGGTTGGCCGGTTGTCTTGGAGAAGTTCACTAGAGAGTTCGCCTGGCTACCTTGCTCTTTTCTACTCACACTGTGATTTATCTTCGTTTTACTGAACCATTGAAAGTTTGTGAAATTATCCGAGGTCCTTCGTTTATAACCGTCGATCGTATAATCTTCAAAGTTGCTCGGTCAAATGTTCTGAAAAAGAACTAAAATTTCAGATTATTACGGGTATGGCGTCGTCCGCATCTAGTGAGACGAAGTCAGAGAACGATGTAAAACTCTTCTCAATGACTTTACCGCGGCCGATCGCCTTCACATATCTTCTATCCATACTGTACAACATAACATTCTTCATGCAATTCATGTCAGCTCCTTATTTAATCAAGTCGTTAGGAGTTTCTGATACTGAGAACGGTACGTCGTTTTTTCCGATAGAAGTGTTCCCAATTTTTCTTCCACAGGAAGTCGAGAGCCGGAATGGGAGGGAAGAGCTACCCTGACCAAGACAGGCAGACAAGGGTCCATTAAACTGAGGGTGTGTTAACCTATCCCCGGAAATCGCGTCGCGCGCTATCAAGGGGAAGGCTTGAATCCCCAGTCAAAGGATACGGTAGCCGCCTCAGAACCACTGCCGCTTGCCGGGGGAATTCGTGGAGAAGAACCGCCATCGGAAAAAACGAAAGTCCGAAATGATGTAGGTGCTCCATCTGTCGAGAAGCTGAAGTAGCGAGGTGTGAAGGAATTGTTCTGGCTATTGCACATACTTGTACATAGCGACTTACACATTTAGGCTTCCAGGCTAACGCGGACTCCTGGGTTATTAATTTTCCCGGCGTACATTGAAACAGCTATTGCTTCCTTCTTGGGAAGCCATCCATGTTCACTAATCCATTGGGGTGTCTCTACGAGTACAAAAAGGAGTTTGACCGAGGAAGGGTGAACCTGCAACTAGTATACTCATTTACTATCAGTTGTGTATTCTACAAAAAAATGTCCTCTTTGCAGGGTATATTCAAACATTCTTTGGCATTTTGCAAATGTGTGGAGGGCCGGTTTTCGGTGCAATTGTGCAAAGGTTTGGAATTCGATATGCTCTTCATCTCTGCTACCTTTCTACGATGATCTCAAGCATTCTGCTTCTGATGTCTTACGTAAGTTGAACCCATCTACCTTCGTAGTTTCAGTGATTTCACCAGTCTTAGTAAGATGATGCAAATAAATGGAAAATTGAAACTCTTAGAATGCCTGGGCGCATTCCCTTTCCATAGGGTTGACCAAGGCCTAGGAACCTTATTTTGGCTTCTATTATTGTACGATTCCTTTCTACAAATGTAGCCTGTTAAGGATGTGAAGACTTTGCTGCTAAGCCGTGTACCATGTATTTTCATGCATGGTCAGCAGGGTCATCAAACTCTGTTGTCGGCTCTCACCAACCCCGGCAAAGAACGCACAAACGCTTTTGGCAGAATGGGACTAACGTTCGGTCAGCAAGTTTGGAAGTTCAAAAATATAATATCCGAATAGACTTGTATATCAAACCTTAATTCCAGGGCTCGGCTTTATTTTTACTCCAATTTTCTCCTTCATTTCAACCAGCGTTTTTTCTATAAATGGTCCTATAATGGTTTCTGCTATGCTTTGTATTGTGCCATTTCTCGTTTTGGAGAATTGTGTACAACGAAGTTCATATGAAAATGTAAGCTTCATATAAATCTACATTATGACTTTACTAATCTCCCTAGCACTCTTTCAGAGCCGATCGGATGATTCAGAAGAACCTTCGCAACATATGAGCTTCTCGAATGTTGCTCGGATATTGAAAAGACCTGGAGTACTCAATATTATGTTCAAGAAGAACGCCCCTATACTACCGATGTTGTTGGTCTTCGCAATCATGCAGGTGATTTCTTCCCCTGGGAAGGTGATTGATAGCGCCTCTGGAAGCATCAAAAGATGGATCGACTGTAATATGAAGGGTGTTTTCGATGGCGCTTTATCAGGGAACTCTTCCGACCTCTTACAGAATATTTGTTTGGAGTCATGCCTTTGCATGATACTCAAGTAGGACTACCTTGTGCATCCACCGATACCTTTTTAGTAGAAGACGAGAGGCTATTGTTGGATATTGTTGGATCATTTGTATTTATGTAACGCTCGGAAAAGCACATCGTATCCATTTTAGATACCATTGGTCGTGAAGTTTGAGTAGTGACAAGTGGCTGACTGTTACATAGGCTTTGTCCCAAAGATTGAATGTCTTGATACCTTCCTAGTTCATGCAGGCATTACATCCCTGCAGTGTCGGTTACTTGATACCCCTCTCACCTCTGAGTATAAAAGCACTGACTTGGACGTCGGCTTACTACCGCATGCCATTGTATAGGCCAAATACGTTTTCAATACGGCACGATTAATGTGATAAGTAGCCGAATGCAAGAGTTTATCCCAAAACATTAAAAGCGTGGTCTTTTATACTACTGACCACCTATTTCGAACAAGGTGATATTCGCAAAGGTATCTAAAGTAAATTAACGGGTTAGGATATTTTGATGGAAGCCATAATCGTAAATAGCGCTATATCCTATCCCTTTCTCGTTGTACTCAGATTTTGTGTGCAACAGTCACCGAATGAAGAGGGTTGTTTTTATGAGTGGTTTTTTGAGGAGAAAATGTCGATTATACCTATTTCAGCTTTTTCTCATGGAGCAGTTCCAAGCGGGTGTGCAAACTGGTCAAGCGATTCAGATGATGACAGGTATGTCGAGAAGCAGACTTGGGGAAGTGTCAGACAATGAGCTCAAGGCGCTGTAACGTTTTCACCAGTGGATAGGTCATAAACTGTAGACTAGTTTTCAAAGCAGTGATTGCACGAGGGGAGATGGTGTAGTGGCAAGTAGTGCTTACCACAAAACATGGTGCGAGGATCGACTCCCGGATCGGTTCTCGTACTTGTCTATGCCATCCAAGTCGTCCATCCTTTCGGGTTCGGTTTATTGGTATCAGACTCGTCTGGGAAGATTAAGGTAGCCCTCTGCAATTATACTCTTCTCAGCACCAGCTGACCGTCGCAAATCTTTGGGTGTGGTGCAGTAGGAACGAAATTGTCGCGTCGCGGCGAGAGTGACGACGCAAAGGGATGTAGCAGAGTGCAGCACGTATAGCGGTTGAGCTGTGTGAAGAACGCACAGGGCCAAGTACACATTCATACGCATTCATGCGTCACTGCGATTCTGAGTGGAAGTCGATCGCGAGACCGCACTACAAAAACAAGATGGATCAATACCAGAAGACTTTACCTAAATTATGCTAAGTTGCTCTCACCATAAAATCTTTTCTGATCATAACAGAAACAACTTGAATGGTGCTAGTTCGACAACAGGCTCGAAGTTGAGGCGAGAATTGCAGCTCTGATTACAGCAGGGGAACAGGACATTTGCTGTTCCATTCTTGAAGCTGTGGTAATTGCGATAATTTATAATGGGATCGAATGCGACCGTTAAACTCTCTGAGAAAGGGAAGGTGGTTGCTATGCTCTAGTCTTCGAACGGGTCTTGAAATTTCTCCGGGACCCTCAAAACCTCTTCACTTTTAATAAAAAGTGCTCCTAGATTTTTTCCATTCCTTTTCAGGGGTGTGCATCATGTTCAGCAATGGATTTGGTGTTATTTGGATGCGGAAGAAGTTTTCTGAACAGACTCTCCTCTTTATAGGAATGATTTTCTTTGTAAGTTTGTCGTACTTTAACATACGCCGAGAAATTATTTTGTGGAATAAGACAAGGGATATATGTTTGCTAAAAACGAAGCGAAAGAATCCTCCATTTTCATATCTACTGTAGCCGGTTTTCACCACAAAGAGTGGATACGGTAGTACCTAAGAGTGAGTTTGTGGAAGGCCGTTTTATAGTCGGCCAGTAGTAATTGATAAAATCACCGCCATTCTATTGTGGGTGTTCCTGGCTGGCCCATGGAAACTGAGCATTCCAGCGAATCGTTTTTGGCTGAGCACAGAATGCTTTCTTTCGCAGCGCTTGATTAATGCTGTGGTTAACACGTTGACGACGAGAGTGTTTTTCGCTTGCGCGCCCACGGGACGAGACCGTTTGGAAGCGGTGACTCACCGTCGGTCACTATTGACCGACATCGTCCCACGGGACAGACACAAAATTTAGTTTATTATTTTAATAAGGAATAAGCTATTATTCAAGAGAAACAACTAAAAACTACTGGAAACAAAAGAAAAAGTTGTATTTTGTTAAGATTTGGGTAAATAATTCTGCTTGCAAATGTCGCAGTGTCCCTTGGACAACCAGAGAAACTATTGGTCCCTAAAACCTTGAAATTTAGCGAGAAATGGACACTCCATGGCCGGTGATATTATGGTTAGGGATCGATTGAACAGCTCCAACGAAACCTCCATTTTGCTGATAATAGCGAGGCAGGCAGGAGTAACAAGTTGTACAAGATTCAACCGATTTTGGACTTCTTGAACGCTAAGTT